ATGTATATATGTATGTATGTATATATATGTATATATGTATGTATGTATATATATGTATGTATATATGTATGTATGTATATATGTATGTATGTATATATGTATATATGTATGTATGTATGTATATATGTACATTTGCCCATGTTGAATTACAAACAAAATTGTTTCGCAATTAATTAAAAATGGCGAAACTAGTTCGTAATTCTATTGTAATTATAGTGGTGTAGTATTGCAATGATGTTTTATGATGTTACTTAAGTTAGGTTTAGGTTTATAATTAATATAATTAATACAATTATAATACCTATATACTTATTAACCATATAAAGGATTAATATTACTTTTCAAATAACACTTTCGTGAGTGTATACTGATCATGCGATCATTGCATGCAGCCACTTTGCTAACGATCATAGTGAACAATGGAGAATTGTGCGAGACTATCACACAGATATCAGTTCTCAAGTTCAAGGACTGTTCAATTGCGAAATTCTTTAAACCTACAGTACAATCGCGAAAATTCTCCCAGAAGAGAAGAGTTACGATCTCGTAATTCCAATGTGATAGTTCCTCATCAGAACCAACCGACAAATTAAAAGTCTCGGACACACGTTTCGCGATTTGAAATATCGTAGAGAAAAAATTGTACAATTTTATTTCAAAATTTTCTGTTTCACGTTACACCTTCCCCTCCCCCCTCGCAATGATGCAATGACTTTAGCAGTGATAACTAAAGAAATGATTTTTTATTTTATTTTCATTTATTAGAAATCAAAATAATTCTACTGTTAAAAATTAATTATAATTCTTAAATTTGTTTTTCCAGATGGCGGGCAAGCATATACAAGCTCGTGTGGTTGGACCTGCTGCTCTTTCTTTCCATATATTACACGCTGTCGTGCATCTACCGATTGTTACTAGATGATGAACAAAAGAAGACATTCGAGGCTATAGTGGCGTACTGCAAGGAGTACAGCGATCTGATTCCACTGTCTTTCGTCCTGGGCTTCTACGTCAGTATTGTTATGACCAGATGGTGGAATCAATACATGGTGATACCGTGGCCAGATTCAATCGCGGTCTTCGTGTCGGCCACTATTCACGGCAACGACGAGAGAGGTCGATTGATGCGCCGAACTATCGTCAGGTGCGTGTAACGCTTGCACATACGATCAGCGAGCAAAAGATAAATTTAAAACGAATTCACGAACACTCGTCAACGAAAATAAAACTCTCTTGTCTCTCTCGACAAGTGGCCTAAGATTTTTCCATAGCGCTTTGCATGACAAAACTATCGTTAATGACAGTAATTATCATGATTAGTTTCAAGGAGAGAGATAGAATTCACAAACTGAATATATAAAAAAAAATAAAAAATATTCATAATCTATATATATATATAATTATAAATAATATATAGAAATTTTATTCTGATGAAAAATCCTAAGTAATAATAAATTTTTTAAATAACATTAAAATAATCATAAAAAAAAAATTCCACTTCTCTCCTTGAAATTAATAACCGTTTTTACTTTTTAAGCCTACAAATATAATTCAGTTCTAACATTTACGCCAACTCTGCCAAAGCAAAACTTCCGCCTGGTGGCAATTGTCTCTCCTTTCTCTTTCGTTTCCAGATACGTGTGCGTTTGTTTAACGCTAGTGTTGGCGATGGTCTCGCCACGCGTGAAGAAACGATTCCCCACGTTGGAGCACTTCGTGGAGGCTGGTTTGTTGCTGGAGAACGAGCTGGTCATATTCCAAAGTCTGAATGCAAAGTTTCCTAAACCGAGCAAGCATTGGTTACCGATTGTGTGGGCGTCGAGCATCGTGACAAGAGCGAGGAAGGAGGGCCGGATTCGCGACGACTTCGCCGTGAAAACGTTGATAGACGAACTGAACAAGTTTCGCGGCCTATGCGGCAGCCTCATGCACTATGATACCATTAGCGTACCTCTGGTTTATACTCAGGTAGATGTGACGAACCCTCTAATCTAAAACTATGCGCACGTTTTACAAGAATCGTTTCCGCAGGTAGTCACGTTGGCCGTGTACACATATTTCCTAACGTGCGTGATGGGCCGGCAATGGCTGCAGAATTCATCGACGTCGACGATCGATTACTACTTCCCGGTTTTCACGACGTTGCAATTCTTTTTTTACATGGGCTGGCTGAAGGTAGCTGAGACACTGATCAACCCATTTGGCGAGGACGACGATGACTTTGAAGTCAACTGGATAATCGACAGGAATTTACAGGTGCAACGTCTACTTGTAAATGCAGTTACAAAAAGTGTACAAAACACTCAATTTTAAGGAAACACATAGATTGACCTTTTTGAATGGAATTTAAATTAGCGTCTCAGTCAATTAAAATAATTAAATTAATTTACTGAGTCCTCTTTATAACCCATTTATTTTTAAACATACTACACTTTGATTTGAAATATTATCTTATATATATATATATACAATTTTTTTTTATAAATCTAAATAATAATAAGGATTAACTTAAGGTATCTTTAATATGTTCAATGTATTTCGTAACAGGTGAGCTACCTCATCGTCGACGAGATGCACCACGAGCATCCGGAATTGATCCGCGATCAATACTGGGATGAGATCTTCCCTGCGGAGCTTCCGTACACGGCGGCAGCGCAGGCCTTCCGCGAAGAGCATCCCCAGCCGTCCACCGCTGGAATTCAGTTGTCCGCGGCGCAGCAAGAACTCCAACCATCCTCGGTCAGGATCGATGAAATGGCAGCGGACTATCAACAGAAGTTCCATTCTGACGTGGCGGACGACGCCGCGTCTGGTATACATTTCACAGCGACCGGGAAAATGTCAAGGTTCGTTTCGAAACCGATGCCGTTTTTCATTTTTATGAACATTTCACTCGACGCGATACAGTTTTCTGTAAATCATGCTCACGTGCCTAACGCCTGATCAGGAGCGCAACCGAGAGTGGTAAAATAGCGAGGTAATGACATTCCCTTCCATACGTATGTATGCATCTTGCTGTACAAGTCGCGACAATTGTGTGCGATGTATGAAGCATATAAAAATTGGATCACGGAACCGGAGATGTGTTTATTTATAGGAGCGCTAGTAGAGTGAGCAATCGGGACCGTACCCTGAGCGGTGGCTCCACTCCAAGCATCATCGGGGGTTCCCTAACAAGAGTCAACAGCGTGACAAGCGTGTTGAAACGATTGTTTAGCAAAGAAGACAGGCCAGATGGTGGCACGTCAGCTGGTACTAAAACTCCTGGAAGACTCGCGTCTTCCAGTTCGGCTGCTTCGTTGCAAAATCGAGCCATTGGTATTATGTCTAGATTTTGTATTTTGTATGTTAAGGATATATACGTATGCGTGTTCTTCTTAAACGTGTTTGTAACAAATGTCTTTAAACAGCAGGCGGAGGCTCGATGAGGATTGGAGTGATCAAGGAAGAGGCGGACGAACAAATGACGTTAACGTCAATGAAATCGGACAAGAAACCTCATGTACAGAGCATATTCTCGACGGGACCACCGCCTCCGAGCGCTCCGGTTGCTGTTCCTGGCATGGAATATTCACGAAATGGCGAGATATTTTCGTGTAGCGCTCCTGTAACCGGTATTGCGTTGGCAGGGAGTAACGGTGGAAGCGCCAACGACAGGAGATACGGGCCTGAATCAAGGTTAACATAGTTTTCATTCTAGAACGGAATCCTTCCCCTCGCCAAACGAGGTTGAAACAATGAAATTCTGCGAATTTTAGCGCGCAACGAGCGACGCAGTCAGCGCGATCGAGCGTCACTTACGAACCAGCAACGAGCTACGTTGGCAGCGTTGTGGATGACCTTGTAAGCAGCCGTAGTTCGTCATCGGCCAGCGTCAACTCGGACGACGAATTCACAAAATTGAAGACGAAAAGGGAGAAACAAAGGCGTGATAGGATTGAACAAAGACTGGCTAGAAGTATCAGCGGGCACACTAACTTGATCAGTGGACATTCGAGAGGTTCTCTAGACAATGAACATCTTTTGCTGTCGGAGTTGGCGAATACCTCGCGTTTGTCCATGACGCAGAACGACCGTGACGACAAAACAATCGAAAGTGACCGTCTTTAGCAGATCTGTCTATGGGCTTACTTTGAAGTCTAATTTAAATTGTGCAAAGTTTCTACAACTGTCGATCAATCAAATGATCGAAGAAAGTACGTGAATTTTAAGGTTGATCCGTACGATCAAGATTCATGACCATATTAATGTATATACGGATTTTTAATTAGAACGAGTTTAACATTTGATGAAACAACGTATGAGTCAAGTTTAAGTAGTTGTAACAATTGACGAAAAACGTAAGGTGAGAAAGAGCGAGAATGTATAGAGCTAATCCAATGTAAAAATTATTAAGTCGTTTAGATATATACGTAAAATAAGTAGAGCCACTTTGAATTTCCGCTGCAATTTTACGTATATCGTAAACCTGTTTGTAAACTTGGCTAAAGTGAACAAAATTTCATCTGCTTCGTGCAATTTTTAGAATTTTGTTGTAAGGAGGAAGACGTTTGCCTTCTGATAAATATAACTTGAAGATTGTGTAAAAGATCCAAAGGTTACATACGCAAGTGTGCAAACATCGAAAGTATATTACCATCGTATTGCAACAATGAATTTGCTACGTATACCGGTATACCTCTCACTTCAAATTCTACGTAACGAAAAAATGACAATAATAATACGAGGACATTGTCATGGAATATCGCCTTAAAGTGTATTGATATGTACATTTTTATATATTTACATTTAGCGAACGTGCTATAAGGTAAATCGTAGTTGTCTAAAGTTAAAAAAAATTCATAATCCAGCAAGTCGATCCTTCTGTTCAATTTTTCTCGCTTCGAAGCATTACGCAGACTAATTGCTCGCAGAAGTAGTTCCCGAAAACATTCTGATCAAACTTTTGTAATCGGTTTGCGAATTCTGATTGTTACGAAGATATTGAAAGTGCCTGCCTATCTTTATGCAATCAGGAATTAGTACTCGACACTTGTTTATCGTTAAATAGTAGCTTAAGTTTCCGCTCTTTCGAATAATGTGTGATCAATGTTGCGCTCAAAATTAGCAATACGTTCGAGCATGTACATTCCAGGAATCAAGGAGATCTAGAAACGACCGCACGTCCACAGGATATATGCCTGATTTCGTATTTTTCTTACGTTTGTAATATGTATTATCGTAATGTCGCACACACTTTCAACCAAAATATAGATAATAAATGTAGATTCTACTTGTAGACGATAGGAAAGTAACTTTAGGGGAGATTTCGAATCAAAAAAACGACGACGAATGAAAAAAGAAAATTTGCCTAGAAGAATTAACAAAAGAATGTACAAATTCTGGGTATCAAAATTGCATACGCGTGTATAGAAGCTTACATGTAACAAGCCTAATTCACGCTCGTTACTGCCTCGTTACTCTCCAATTCTTTCATTTTGGAATCCACATTCCAGACCGCGATTAATTAAATCCGACGGTGCTCATACAGCGAAGCGTTTCGTTTAACAGTATTAACGAGGTATCGAAGAGGTACTTTCTCGGATTGTCTTGGGGTTTGGAAGCTTTTTTCTGAATAAAGAAAAAGTGAATTGCAAACACGAACAAATGCAGTTTTCCTTTACTTCGAAACCGCTCCTCGACGAAGGATAGCCTGGAAGAACGCGAGGAACGGAGTATTTGAATTTTCCCGCCGGATAGAGCTGCGAGATGTCGCGGCGGCCAATCGACGACAGCGAGTTGGGAGGGGACGCTTCGTGGAAGATCGTGGGAGTTCGGCGGCGTTCGGGCGTCGTCGTTCGGCTCCGCGAGCAGGCGTCGGCAGCTCGCGGAGTGGGGGCCGTCAGTGGGCAGCCGTCGGCGAGAGGTGGCGGTGGTTTTGTAAGGCGAAGAAAAGAGGGGTTAAGTGAGCCGTGCCGGGCCGTAGAAGCGAGCTAGCGGTGGCGCGGCCCGTGCTCGTGCCATAGGGCCTCTGCCAGGCATTAGTGCAATCGTTTACAAGATGGCAGACGGTCCGTCCGCGGAGGACGCGGCCACCGATCTGGGGGACAGTGATTCTCGTTTGACGAGGGAACGACACAAACGTCAGGACGCTTCGTCTTCGATGACGTCGTTGAGCACGGGCCAGGACATCGCGAGACGCATCCACGAAGACGCTTCCGCACCCGAGACGCATCCTCATCATCGGCAACACCAGCATCGTCCTCTCCGTCGCGCTAATTGTCACGCTAATCCTCGTCGGCACAGTAACAACAACAACAACAACAACAATAGCAATAGCAGCAATAACAACAACAACAACAACAACAACTGCGGTAATCATCGTCGGGAGCACGAGAACGTGAACGAGAAGGTGGATGGTAAAGAACGCGTTGGTAAAAACGAGAGTGGTGTCGGTGTTGACACGACGTGCTCCGTTGCTCCGTTTGTGTCGCGAAGCAGGCAGGATTGCGACGAGGACGACGAGGACGACGAGAACGACGAAGAGGACGGGAAAGACGACGAGAATGGGGAAGACGACGAAGTGGTGGATAAAGTAGATAAGGTGGAAGGGGTTAGGAGCGGAGCGAAGGGGAGGAGGGGTGTATCGAAAAAGTGCCGCGGCTCGGTTCGGATCGACGTAACAAAGATGAAAAATGTGACAAAGGCGAAGAACGAGGAGAGCGACAGCGACAATGGTTGTGGTAACGGGCACAACGGTGGTAGTAAGAACAACGACAGTAACAACGGTGGCTGGAAGGGTGGCTCGATGACCGGTCACGCGACGCACGGTGGTGACAATGCCGGTGGTAGTGGTGCTGGTGGTGGTGGTGGTGGTGGTGGTGGTGGTGGTAGTAGTGGTGGTGGTGGGTGTTTGGTCGGCGACGGTCGACGGTCGAGGTCCGTGGTGGTCGGTGGTGCTTTCGTCGTCGATGCGACGACGACGATTTCGACGAGTTCTCCGAACGAAAGTGCGAGCGACATGAAGAAGGAGTGCCGCGTAGACGACGACAACGACGAGGACGAGGACGAGGACGACGACGACGACGAGGATGAGGACGAGGATGAGGACGAGGACGAAGACGAGGACGAGGACAAGTGTGAACAGGAACGCAAGCACCAGCAACGTCACAATAATGATCGTCAGGATCAGCAGGAAAAAGCGAATCGTATCGGTTGTAGCGAGAA